CTATCAATTTTACAAAAAAACTGCAAGAGACAAAAATTGTTTATTTTCTTCTCATAGAACTCTAAGAATTTTTTCAGAATTTTTTATCAACTTTTTAGTATTGCATTTTCTTATTTTTACCATCATGAAAATCCGATATTAAAAAATTCTGAAAAAATTCTGAAAAAATTCTTAGAGTTCTATGAGAAGAAAATAAACAATTTTTGTCTCTTGCAGTTTTTTTGTAAAATTGATAGTATTTAAGAAAAAAATTATTGAAGACCAATATTCGGCAATTTTTAGTAATTAATATCTTGTTAACTATTGCGAAAATTACAAAATAGTAGAGGACTTTTCGACTCAGTTTAGTCCGCTTTACCTGGCCACGAGCGTTGTCAGGTGAGTTATGGGACACCCTGTATATATATATACTATATATACACACATGTACGTAAGACAAAAAGAAAATTGTGATAAATAAACGTAAGCGCTGTGAAGAAGAATAGTAAATATGGCAAAGTAAATTTATTTATTAGGACCTTTTTTTTCTGTGGCAGTTTGCCCACGCCAACTCCTACCTCCACACACGGTCAAATCCCAAGTCGACGCCCCTGACAAAGATTATATAATGCACAGTGTATGGTATTACAAAGATTATGTGTGATACACACAATTAATATTAAATAGAAACCTCGATGTTTTTGTTACGAAAAAAATTAACTTTTGATATTTAAAGAATTTGTTATAAAAAGGATATTTTAAGATACTCTTATGTATATAAGTTAAAATATATAAAGAATTTTTACTAAACTTAACCCTATTAATAAACTGAATTTTTTTCAGAGGTAAAATTCAACAAAGTGATTTTGAAGTTAACATAATCGACGAATAGTCTTATAAATACAAGAAAATTTTACTAAACAGAACATTTCGAGAAACTGTAACAATGATTTCATAACAAAGAGCACCATATTATATGTTTCATAAACAAATTAGTTTGCATAAATTTAATCTTTTCAAATATTAAATTATTAAGCAGCATAAATTTAATCTTTTTGAATAGTTAAATGTGACACTTTTTGTGTAGGTCAGAAATAATGTTGAAAGTATATTGCGGCGCATTGCATTGCTGATGCAAGAATATGGCAACAGCTATAAAAGATTAACTCATCAGAATTCAAATGCCTATGAAATTTTGCGGCATGTTATTGTACCCCAAGATCAAGACTCTATAAACCTTGACAAAAATGATTTTGCATTGTCTTGGGTGATCTCTAATCTCGAATTTGCAATGGAAATGAAGAGATTAATTTCAAAAAATGAATTGTCTCTTGAATACACCAAGTCGATTTTATTGTGGTTGATCAAATTGTTTGATTTAAAATGGCAACAATTATATGATGATCTCGATTATATCTCAAAATGGCGACTTTTGAATTTAAAAAAACAAGCAGAATTTTTTTTAGAAAATTTTTTTATAGATAATCAACAACATGAGAAATCGAACGATGATAAATATATTTCAAAAGACGGAAACAACAATGAAAGCACTGAAAACGTTGAAGAAATAATCTTAACTAAACAGAATAAAAGCAATCTTATTGAAACTAAGACTAAAATAAATATAAATAAATTTCCAATGAATACACCGAGTGACACATCTAAAATAGAAACACAAATTATGAATCATCAGGAATTAACAAAACATATCGAAGATAATACCAAAAATCTCACTATTATACCTATCAATCAGGAATTTACATTAAACACCCCTACTGATGTTAAGGACACTTCTATCATTAATGATACATTTTTTTCTAAGATAAAAACATTTCGAGATGAAGATCTCATCAAAAACAAAACTTCCTCAAAATTAAAAGAATTCATAGATATTCATCATGATGAGCATATGAAAGATCATGAAAAACAATTTAATCAACTGAAAAATATTTCTTCAATTTTGCCAAATGAAAACATTACAAGCACTTTGCAAGAGATTGATCAACGAAAACATATTGGAACAGACGTTACATTGCAGGGATCTTTAAAAAATATAACAGACATCCGAAAAACTCCTTTTCGAAGAACACTTCAAGTTCTTGCTCCTTCGAATAAAAACGAAAAACAGAAAAATAGACACGTGTCAACGAAAAACATCTCTGACAAACATCATTATTTTAATAAAAGGAAGGAGATAAAATCAGATAATGGCTCGGCGATGGACGAGATTCTAGAGGCAGTGGATGAAGTCTTGCCAACGGATAAGTCTATAGAAATGTCGCCAAAAGGATCAAACACGTTTTCTCGGATATTCTAATTTCAGTCAAGAGTTATAATTGTATGCGAAGAGAATTTGAGATATATTTTTTAGGCAATATGTTAACACACATGTACTAAGATCATTAATAATTACAGGCTATTAAATTTTAATTAGACATGTAATCAAGTTTTTCAGCTTATTCATGCATTTAAATAAGAATTTTGTTTTGACTCGGAAATTATGAATATAGTCATTGTCATCAATAAAAAAATATATCAAGAATCAAGTTTATTTATAACTTTTTAGTGCGCTTTGAGATTTGTACACGGTTTTTTAAATGTTATACAATACTAAATATATCTTTGACATATTTTCATTTTCTTACAAAAATTTATTTTTAATAAATTTAACAAATACTTATTTAGTCAGCGACTTGGAAAGCGTTATGATAAAATACCAAGGTTGGGAAGTAACGACGTTACATTTTCGTTATTTTTTTTGGATAACGATTTGATAACGCTGTTGCTTTTTTTTATTAGTAACGAAAAAGTAACGACGTTTATACATTTTCTTTATTAACGAGTAACGAAATTGACTCCGTTACTCTTGTATCGTTACTTTTTTATAGGTCACAGCCGCCACGGACAATAAAGATTGTAGATAAATAAACAAAAAACATTTTTCCTATTTTTGTTTCATTCACTATCCTCGCTTAAGAACACTAAAAACTAAAATATCTATTATATAATAAAATACCATGGAATTAAACATAAGTATGTAAAATATTAATAAAAGATAAAATATTCAAAGATAAATATCTTTCTAAATATTTTATATGTTGTTTATTTTCTGTGTATGTGTGTTTTAGTATTCTGTCTTAGAAACATGTTAACATTTAAAAAAAGTATAATTATACAGAAGACAGGTTTATTCATCGATTTTGACGAAAGGGTCATTCGACGCGTTTTTGCACGAAATGAACGAATCTGATAGATTTCCTTACCTCAATAATCATCAACTTTAACAATTAATATCTCGGTTCGGGTAGAGCGACACTTATTTTTTTGCCAGATTTGTTCATTTCATGCAAAAACGCGTTGAATGACCCTAATTTCATCAAAATCAGTGAATAGGCCCGTCCCCTGCATAATTACAAAAAAAAGTAACGAAAAGTAACGATTTTTCATCGTTACTTTTAAGTAACGGTAATGCGTTACTTTTTAGAATCGGTAACGAGTTATTTTTTACTGCAAATAACGGTAATGGTAATGCGTTACTTTTAAAAAGTAACTTTCCAGCCCTGTAAAATACAATGAAATACTTTTAGAAACTAAATACAAATTTGAAACCAGGAGACGCGGTAGTGTCTCCGGCCATGTTTAAAAACTAAAAGACACTACAAATCTCTTATCACGCGCCACCAAAGTCCATTTTTGGGGGGTACAGAAGTACTAAAATATAAAAAATTTTGAATCACACTTAACATATCCTGAAAGGCGGCGTCGCCACGAGTAATTTGAGCCAAAAGAAATAAAAATCGGTCAAGCCGTTCTGGACATACAAGCAGTCAAAAAGTAATGATTTTCATAAAAAATGAAGTAACGTCTTCTTCTTCTTCTTTTTCTTCTTCTCCTCCTCTGTCCGCACATGCACCTCTCTTCTCTCTCACCTTTCACTCCCCCAACATACCTCCCCCAATTTCGACTCACTTTATCCCTTCCTCCTCTCCTCCTACCCCACTCACCCCCACCACCTCTATCTTTCGCCCTATCTCACTTTCTTTCGTCCTCTCTTACCCTCGCCTGCTGAAAGTGTCCGATGGTCACTCAGGGTCGTGACCTTGACATTGTGAGTCAAGGTCGTATTAATTTTTTTGGATAACTTTGTAACGCGTGATGGGTGACTGCTTCCGAAGGTTGTTCTGTGTAATGACCTTCATAATGTGTGGGAGGGTCAAGGTTATTGGAGGTGAACTGTCCATTATAATTTTAATATCTTCTTAATGGGCAACGGTCGCCTGCTGAAAATGTTCGATGATCACTCAGGATCGTGACCTTGACAATATGAGTCAGGGTCATTTTAATTTTTTTGGATAGCTTTGTAACGCGTGATGGATTACTGTTACAACCTTTCAAAGGTTATTCGGTGTGATGATCTTCGGAATGTGTGAGAGGGTCAGGGCCATCGGAGGTGAATTATCCATTTTAATTTTAATAACTTCTCAATAATCAACGAACGACTACCAAAACATTTCGATGGCTATTCAAGGTCATGACCTTGACAATATATGTCAAGATCAACATTGTGAGAGTTGAATTCCCTATTTCATTTTTAATAACGTACGACGGGTGACTGCTAAACCTTCCGAAGGTTGCAGGAAATGTAGTGGGAGAACAAGTATCGTATACCGCAAGTTTATGTTAAGTAATAATTCCAGATTGAAAAAAGGAATAAAATTAAGTAAAAGTTACCGAAATGTTTAAAACATTGATGAAAAGGCTACCCAAAGTTTGAATTTTTATAGTTAAGAATCTTTCCATGGTTCTTATTTTATGAATCGTCTGACTGAATAACTAATTAAAAAGGAACATTTTATGCAAATATATATAAAGTATAAAAAATGCAGAGATAGGAAGTAAAGTAACGTCGTAAATTTTATCATTTATAAAAACGACTTGATAACGACTTCATTGCAACGATAACTGACTATATTAATTTTGTGCTAAGCTTGGAAAAGTCACTTTGAGAGG